GGAGAATAAAGGGGATAAGGGGTAGAAAGTGGTCGTACAAAATTTATAAAGTTTTTTATTTGTATGTGTTAAATTGAAACCAAAAGTTATTTCGAAAACTAAATACTGCTTGAAGTAGTTTTAAAGAAAAGAACAATTTATGAAAATGACTTTTATTATACCCTCCACCACCATCAGTGGTGATAGAGGGTATATATAAGTTTGTCGTTCCGTGTGTAACACCAAGAAATATTCATCTAAGACCCAACAAAGTATATATATTCTGGGTCCTTATCAAATTCTGAGTCGATTTAGCTATGTCCGTCTGTCCGTCTGTCCGTCTGTCCGTCTGTCTGTCTGTCTGTCTGTCTGTCTGTGTAAAACACGCTCACGTTAAAACTAAGTAAAGGAAATCAACCAAATTCACCCAAAATATTTATTATTATCCTAAGCAGTTTGGTATTGAAAATCAGCAAAATCGGTTCACAACGTAAAAAGTTATGAGTACAAATTTCAGACTACCTCGAAAAAAATTACGTTTTTTTCATAATTCTTTTACAGTTTTCTCAGAAACTACCAAAGATATTTCGATGAATTTTGTCACACATTATTTTTTCAGGGCAGTGATCAATTATGTTCAAAATCTTTACAATCGATCCAATATTTCCCATAGCCCCCATACAAAGGTATATATTCCCGGAAATTAGTTTATCGTTAATAACTCCCTCAAATATATCGATATCAACACGAAATTTTGTACATGTATATATAATATGAACAGAAATCATACTCTCAACGTAGATCTCAGTCGGTCCACAATTGGTCATAGCTCCCATATAAGGTCCACTTCCGAAAATCACATAAACGCACATATTTCATTGATGAATAAAGCTATTATGATAAAATTCGAGTTGGATATGTTTTGTATACATACAAATCATTCTACCGAATTTTTTACGGATCGGTCCATTATTGGTCATAGCTCCCATATAAAGCCCACTTCCGAAAATCATTTAAAAGCTCATATTTCATTTCCAACTAAAGCTATTTTGATGAAATTCGATACAAATATGTCTAGTCGAAATATAAATCACTCTACGAAATTTTTTCCGGATAGGCCCATAATTGGTCATGGCTCCCATATAAGGTCCACTTCCGAAATTCACTTAAACGCATATATTTCATTGAATTATAAAGCTATCGGGATAAAATTCGACAGAAATCAGTTTTGTATACATACAAATCATTCTACAAAATTTTTAACGGATCGGTCCATAATTGGTCATAGATCCCATATAAGGCCCACTTCCGAAAATCACTTAAAAGCACATATTTCAATGCCAAGTAAAGCTATATTGATAAAATTCGACACAAATATGTTTTACCTAAACATGAATTATTCAACGAAATTTTTTCCGGATAGGCCTATAATTGGTCATAGCTCCCGTATAAGGTCCACTTCCGAAAATCACTTAAACGCATATATTTCATTGAATTCTAAAGCTGTTGGGATAAAATTAGATTTGAATATGTTTTGTGTACGTACAAATCATTTTATAAATTTTTTACGGGTCGGTCCATTATTGGTCATAACTCCCATATAAGGTCCACTTACGAAAATCACTTAAAAGCACATATTTCATTATCAAAAAAAGCTATCTTGATAAAATTCGACACAAATATGTTTTGTTCAAATATGAATCACTCTGCGAAATGTTTCCCGAATAGGCCCATAATTGATCATAGTTCCCATATAAGGTCCACTTCCGAAAATCACTTACACGCATATATTTCATTGAATTCTAAAGCTATAGGGGTAAAATTCGACTTGAATAAGTTTTGTGTACATATGAATCATTCTACCACTTTTTTCTCGGATCGGTCCATTATTGGCCATAGCTTCTATATAAGGTCCACTTCTGAGAGAAATTTGAGAAAATTCGACACAATTATGTTTTGTCTTTACATAAATCACTCTACGAAATTTTTTGCGGATAGGCATATAAAACATTGTACCAAATTTTTTCTGGATCGGTCCATATTTGGTAATAGGTCCACTTAAAAAAATCCCTTTAACGCACATATTTAATTATCAAATAAAGATATCTTGATAAAATATGATTTGTGCACATATGAATCACTCTGCGAAATTTTTCCGGATAGGCCCTTAATTGCTCATAGCTCCTATATAAAATCCACTTCCTAAAGTCACCTAAGCTATTGGAGTAAAATTAGACTTGATCTTTTTCTGCATATAAATCATTATATGAAATTGTTTCATGATCAGTCCATAATTGGTCACAACTCCCATATTCTGTGTATAGATACATCATTCTGTTAAAATGTTTTCGAACTGGCGTATTAATATACATTTTCTGGACCTAATCAAAATTAGTTCGACAAAAATTTTGGCAAGTTATCTAAAAATTAGATAGTTAGATGGGTTTCAATAAAAAGTAGTTTGCTGGTGGAGGGTATTTAAGATTCGGCATAGCCGAATATAGCACTCTAACTTGTTTTTCCATACAAATTGTTTTGAAATTCCAGATTTTTTTAAGAACAAAATTGCATGCCATTTAACACCTTGAGTTATTTTTATCTCGTTGTAGCACTTATAAAATTATCTATATATTTATAAATTAAGATAACAGCATAATTAAAGAAATATTATCTCAAAATGGAATTAAGAACCTTTAGATAAAGTTAACCTTTTAAACTACTTTTCACTTTACATTTCTTGTACACAAATGAGAAAGTGTAACACACTTTTTATAATTGGTAAAAACAATTATACAGTATACATTTAGGCTTAACAATCGTAAAGAGCGTTGCATACTTTTAGGTCATTATAATATGTTTAATATGTTTTTCTAAAAATGTTGTTGCTACAAATTCAAAACAAATTTTAAAATTTCCTCTTTAAATACTAACAACTAAATATAGATATTTCACTTTGTATAGCCTTTATGATTTTCTAATTTAATTTAAAAGTTTATTAATGAAAATGTCTCGCTTTACTCAACACATAAACAAGACATGTTTAACATCATCAATGATATCGTATGGGGATTTCATGCAGTTCAAATATTTTCCAACTTTATCATTACATTTTGATCCCTTAAAACTGCAAAACTTTTTAATTTGTATTTTCAAAACTTTGTGTTAAAAGTATAATATAGATATTTGTTATATTTATTATGAATTCAATTTCTTTGTCCCTTTAAATATATAAATATGATAATTTATTAATAATATTGGCAGCCAAAAAAAAAGAAAAGAGTAACAAAAACTTTACGTTTTCTCTTAATGCATATACAGGGTAAGCTGAAAAAAATATACATAACAAATTCGAAAATAAAGGACAAATAGATTATAACAAATTCATTTGGTTGCTCTGTTTAAAATGTTCATAACTTTTTTACTCAATGATTTTGTGACCCTTGATATTTTTTATATTTTATAATCCTTTAAACAGGCCCTACTACGTGTTTGGGTATTTTCTCAGAAAAAAGATAAATCCTCAAGGATTTATATTTTGCAAACACTTTTTAAGTTTATTATGCATTACCTTTATTTATGAATATGTTTATATGTACATTAGGGTGTACCGTGGGCCACTCTTTTTTAGTCTAGTCTATAATCTAGTCTATAGTCTAGTCTATAGTCTAGTCTATAGTCTAGCCTATAGTCTAGTCTATAGTCTAGTCTATAGTCTAGTCTAGTCTATAGTCTAGTCTATAGTCTAGTCTATAGTCTAGTCTATAGTCTAGTCTATAGTCTAGTCTATAGTCTAGCCTATAGTCTAGTCTATAGTCTAGTCTATAGTCTAGTCTATAGTCTAGTCTATAGTCTAGTCTATAGTCTAGTCTATAGTCTAGCCTATAGTCTAGCCTAGTCTAGTCTAGTCTATAGTCTAGTCTATAGTCTAGTCTATAGTCTAGTCTATAGTCTAGTCTATAGTCTAGTCTATAGTCTAGTCTATAGTCTAGTCTATAGTCTAGTCTATAGTCTAGTCTATAGTCTAGTCTATAGTCTAGTCTATAGTCTAGTCTATAGTCTAGTCTATAGTCTAGTCTATAGTCTAGTCTATAGTCTAGTCTATAGTCTAGTCTATAGTCTAGTCTAGTCTATAGTCGTCTAGTCTATAGTCTAGTCTATAGTCTAGTCTATAGTCTAGTCTATAGTCTAGTCTATAGTCTAGTCTATAGTCTAGTCTATAGTCTAGTCTATAGTCTGTCTATAGTCTAGTCTATAGTCTAGTCTATAGTCTAGTCTATAGTCTAGTCTATAGTCTAGTCTATAGTCTAGTCTATAGTCTAGTCTATAGTCTAGTCTATAGTCTAGTCTATAGTCTAGTCTATAGTCTAGTCTATAGTCTAGTCTATAGTCTAGTCTATAGTAAGTCTAGTCTATAGTCTAGTCTATAGTCTGTCTATGTCTAGTCTATAGTCTCGTCTATAGTCTAGTCTATAGTCTAGTCTATAGTCTAGTCTAAGTCTAGTCTATAGTCTAGTCTATAGTCTAGTCTATAGTCTAGTCTATAGTCTAGTCTATAGTCTAGTCTATAGTCTAGTCTATAGTCTAGTCTATAGTCTAGTCTATAGTCTAGTCTATAGTCTAGTCTATAGTCAGTCTATAGTCTAGTCTATAGTCTAGTCTATAGTCTAGTCTATAGTCTAGTCTATAGTCTAGTCTATAGTCTAGTCTATAGTCTAGTCTATAGTCTAGTCTATAGTCTAGTCTATAGTCTAGTCTATAGTCTAGTCTATAGTCTAGTCTATAGTCTAGTCTATAGTCTAGTCTATAGTCTAGTCTATAGTCTAGTCTATAGTCTATAGTATAGTCTTTAGTCTAGTCTATAGTCTAGTCTATAGTCTAGTCTTTATAGGTTTTATATCATATGCAAAGGCGTTATGAACTAGTGTTAATTATTATTATAATGGTTACATATTGTATATAGTACGTCCGTCTACGATACATAAATATTTATTAATAATAATTCTTTTTTCCTTTCTTTACAGCAACGGACGTATTAAAATTGAAAATAATGGATATTTTCTTTATAAAAAAACACAATTTAGAACTTAAGTTCAAAATTATAAAAAAATATATACATATATTAAATTTCAACAAAAAAAACTCAACTGCCTTTAATCCCTTCGTTTTAATACTTCCTGACACTCACAGACACATCCACTTACAGAGATACGCTTAAATGTATTAAAAAATACTTATGTATGTACAAGGATATCCCACATACAAGCAATTGCTTGCATAAGAGATAAACAGAGTATAATATAAATATAAAGAAGGTTCTTTTTAGTGAAAAATGGGTATATAGGCGACTATAATAACCAAAAAAATAATGTTATTGTTATTATTGAGATTGTTAACAATATTTTGCAATTTGCATAAAACTTAAGTCTATTCCAAAGATATTTGTATATGGAAATCTTTTTATTTATGACTAAAAGTTGTTTACTATTATTTTATTTATTTCTTACATTTTTTTTGTTATTTAAATTTTATTACTAATGGTTTCTCTAATAGTCATTTTATATAAATTAAAATTTTACTAAAAAAACACAAGCACAATATTAAATTAGTTTAGATTGAAAAAAGAAACAAAATTTCCTAAACTTTTTACTGATCATTTGTAAATATTTAAACAAAAGACAACACAGAATAATTCCCTTTTAAATAATATAAACAGTAATAATGAAAACAAAAACTTAAAACATTTTGCAGTAGTATTTCCAACAACAAAATGAAAACAAATTATGTAAAGCAAATATTCTAACAAAAAGAAACTATTAAATATTTTTAAAACCAAAGAAAATATATGATTTTTAACCAACACAACAAATTTTTCTAATCCCAAAAACAAAAGGTTTGTAGCATAGTAAATGTGAACCAAGAACAAAAACTAAAGGCACCAAGATAATTATATACAAAAATATATATGAAAAAATAAATCAATGAAAATATTTAAACATTTACTTATAAAGAAAAATGATAAATAAAAATAATTAATTAAATAAAAGGTAAAAGCACATGAAAAAGAAGAAATTGTCACGGTGGGATAAAATTTTTGAAATTTGAAATATAAATTTTATTTGCATATTTTTAGGCCCTTAAGAACTCTCTGGGTTTTCCTTTTTTATAAAAAATATATTTTTTCTAACAATTAGAAAATCTCTTTGTTTATTTCCATCCCACTGTTCCAATCACTTAACCATAAAATCCATAAAAATCCCAAATAAATATTTAATACCACAATTAAATCTATTTAGTATTGTACCAAATCATGTATGTAACACAATATAGACCAATTGAACAATCTCTTAACTAAATACGAGTATAAAATTTAATATTTATTAACTACCTAACAACTACAACAAGAACAAAAAGTAATTTAAAAATCTTATATAAATAAATCTTTGCTGAATTTCTAAACAAACAAACAAAAACTAAAGTATCAGACAAAAACTATAAAAATCTTATAAATAAATAATGAACAAACAAACAAAAAGTATATTTAATGAAAATCTATTGAAATATGTAACTGAAACTGAAAAATAGCTTTATAGTATTTTAAGTCTAAAGAAAATATATATAAAAAAGAAATCTTTAAAGTAAACAAATTAAATAATTAAACAAAACTTATCTTAGTTATTAAACAAAATATAAAAAAACCAATGTAAACTGGATAAAAGAAGCAAATGTTATAATAAAGTAAAACTTATATGTTAGAACCAGCAAACTTTAAAAATTAAAACTGATTAATAAAACTTGATAAATTCTTTATAATAAAATTTTATAAATTTTAACAACTTTCAGCAATTTGCTTGGTATTTTAAAACACACATTTGTTCCAGTATATAACAATAAATGATCAACATTTTATTAACACTCAAAATCCAAAGGCAATTTTCATTTCATATTTTATGAGTTTTTTCCATTTTCTTTGTATTTTCTCTATATTACTACGCTACGGGTATAAACGAATTCAAAAACAAGTTTTAGTAGAAAGTTTTCAGAATTTATTTTTTTTTTTTAAATTTTAAAAACAGAAAAAATTTTCTAAAAATTCTACTTGATTTTTATGATATTTTAAAGAATTTTTGTTAATAACTTTTATTCAGGCTTGCATTCCTAGCTATAATAGCTGGATCTTTTCTTAATACATGACCTATCCAATTCCATTTTTTTTTAATCTCAAAATTTTTTTTTAATCTCAGACTGAGGTTTCTCTAGTTCACTCCATATGAGGAAAATAGTGGAAGCGTAGTTTGCAAATGCATCTATGAAGATTTCCATATTCTTTGCAGTGCTCCAGAGGTTTAAAAAGCTGTCTTCATACGATTTGCAATATCTTCATGAGGGCCTTCTGATGTCGATATAACACTACCTACTCAACAGAAACTGAGATTTCTGTAGTTCTCTCCATATGAAGAAAATAGTGGAAGCTTGGTTTCCAAATGCATCTAGGAGGATTTCCACATTCTTTGCAGTGCTCAAGAGTTTTGATACGATTTTCAATATCTTGAGGGCCTTCTGATGTCTATATAATTATTGCTTATTATTCGATTATTGCTGCACATCTCTCGGTTTCGCCAACATATCGTTGTATGTATGAAATATGATACATATGCATATAGTTCATGTAATTCCTCTCGCAGCACTTATTACATGAGTCATTATCAAGTCCTATATTATGTTAAAAGGTAATAGATTTAATTCCAATATTACGCCCCACCAGATTCAGCATCATCTTTCTCAGAACACCTTTAGACTAAAGGGTATCAAATACTCTGAAAAATTAATCGAATTAGTCGATTAGACGACTCACCAGCGTCTCTTTATGCTTCTTATACGCCGGTGGAAATTTTTGTACATGGTTCTGCCGGTCCTTGTACAAGCACTTCATTGAAATAGTCGAGCTTTCTAATCTCTGACCATTGCTACCACATTGTTTAACTTCCGAGATGCAAAAACATCACTTCGCTTATCACCACGTAGGGATGGTCTTTGTTAAATTGGGAACAGCACCTACAGATGTGTTCAGTAGACCAAAAAACGAATCCATCAAATCAGCCGAGGACTTGTTCTTACTCACAAAGAACACACTGTAGTAAAACTGCTATGAACAGAGCAAACGCTAAACACACCTGGACAAGGAAGGAAAATGTAATGGTATCACATGGATAAGATACCTTACATACACCGTCATTTAACCCATCACGTTTCTTATTCATCCGATACACTCACTTTAGGTATACGGGTGGATAAAGTCAGCATACACCTACATTCATACCGTATCATATACATTTAACACCAACTCATTTCCAACACTTAGTCTCACAGTCACTGCTCTGTGTGGTATGTGTTGACTCGGCAACAGCACCGAACTTATCCAGAATTATAAACCTTAGCGTGACTTTCGTGCTATCTGTTCCCGTGGTACCAGATTATATGGTTCTCTGGTTCTACCCCATGTCAAATCATTCCAAAGAAAAGCCGAGGATACATTTGATCATCTTAAGTTTATAGTACCGGAAGACTAGAAGAACTGGGAGCACCTCTTTTCCTAGGATTGCAATAATACCCAGATGAAGGTCTTTCATGAAAGTAACACGCCCTCAGGGGTATTGAATATGTAAAGTGGGATGGTAGTGTATTTCAAAAATTCACAATAATGGGTTGGAACAATTTCTCTCTGAGTTCAGGGTTGAAATTGTCCATTCCTGCTACCTTGCCGCTTTTAAGTCTTCTAATGGCTCTAGCGATTTTCGTCTCGTTCGAGAATGTAGAACATGCTTATGTCATTTATTTTCCAAACATACACTTGATGTTCAAAACATAGACAATCTGGTTTGTGATGGTTTCTGTTGTTACCACCATACTGTCATAATAATCGCGAATAAGTTGACGACATTTAATATATAACGTTTGTTTTCTTTAAATCGTCTTTGCATTTCTCTGGTTCTCTTTATTTCAGATGTTATACTCCCTATACCTTATCTCTTCAAGCTCAATGTTTGACCATACGACCCATACATAAATACTGTAACTACTTACATATATAAAACTTTAAAAAAGTAATTTTCCTAATATTTTTGACTAAGAAAAAAAATTTCAAAAACTTTTCACAAATACAACATATTTTTTAATTTATGAAATTTATAAAATTTTATTTAATTATTCTCTAAAATATCTTAAATCTATTCGTTGGTATAAGTAAAAAATTTATCCAAATACTTATCTGTATTACTTTTCTGCATACAATGTACATTGCGATGCTTAAAATTAAAGCAAAAATTCTTTTACATATAACTAACATCTACATACTCCGTATATATAAACACACATACTTACATAAATTAAAACAATCTAGATAAATACAATTTTTTAGTATTAGATTTATACTATATTAAAAAGAACACAACCTATAGAAAAGAAATGACAGTGAAAAGCAAATATTTAAAAATTGTATTAAATAAATAACATATATTTATTATATATATAGAAAAGTAAATAAACCAATAAATATGTATAACAAATAAATATAACAATAAACATTATACCTAATGATCACTTAAAAATATATACGAACTATATGGATGTATATTTAATATGAAAAAAAATTAAACTATAATACTTAAATAAAACTGTTATGTATAAAACTAACACACATGCAATAAATTATGTATAAATAAATTAGTAAATATATAAAGAAAAATAAATAAAAACACATGTAATTTCAAATGAATTAATCTACAAGTGTAAATGAGTTTTATTTTAAACAGAAAATAATGATTTAATTAGAATAAATGATTTGTTTTCATTTATTTAGTATTACAGTAAGTATAAATCTCAAATAATTTGTTATTAGTTTTTCTTTAATAGATTACGCAAATTATTATTTACTAGGAGTATACGTATTATAATAATTAAATATCAATCATACGCACTGCTGAGAAAGAGCAAAACTTATTTTTTACAAGTTTTCGGTTTCAATTATTATATACAAAATTAAAATTAAATTGTAAGAACGAACGAACGAACGCAAAACGGAGAACGAACGAACGAACGAACAACAAGAAACGAACGCGAACGAACGAACGAACAAGAACGAAGAACGAAGAAAACGAAAACGTAAAAAAACGAAAGGAACACGAACAACAACGAACGAACGAACAACGAAAACGAACGAACGAAAACGAAAACGAACGAACGAACGAACGAACTAACGAACGAACTAACGAAGAACAACGAACGAACGAACGAACGAACGAACGAACGAACGAACACAAAACGAACGAACGAACGAACGAACGAACGAACGAACGAACGAACGAACGAACGAACGAACGAACGAACGAACGAAACGAAAACGAACGAACGAACGAACGAACGAACGAAAAGCAAGAAACGAACGAACGAACGAACGAACGAAACGAACGAACGAACGAACGAACGAAGAACGAACGAACGAACGAACGAACGAACGAACGAACGAACGAAGCAACGAACGAACGAACGAACGAACGAACGAACGAACGAACGAACGAACGAAGAACGAACGAACGAACGAACTAACGAACGAAACGAACGAAACGAACGAACGAACGAACGAACGAACGAACGAACGAACGAACGAACGAACGATACGAACGACGAACGAACGAACGAACGAACGAACGAACGAACGAACGAACAACGAACGAACGAACGAAGAACGAACGAAACGAACGAACGAACGAACGACGAACGAACGAACGAACGAAACGAACGAACGAACGAACGAACGAACGAACGAAAGAACGAACGAACGAACGAACGAACAACGAACAAACGAACGAACGCGAACGAACGAACGAACGAACGAACGAACGAACGAACGAACGAACGACGAACGAACGACGAACGAACGAACGAACGAAACGAACGAACGAACGAACAACGAACGAAACGAAACGAACGAACTACGAACGAAAGAAACGAACTAAACAACGACGAACGAACGAACGAACGAACGAACGAACGAAAAAACGAACGAACTAACGAAAACGACTAACGAACGAACGAACGAACGAACGAAACGAACGAACTAACTAACTAACGAACTAACTAACTAAACTAACTAACTAACTAACTAACTAACTAACTAACTAACTAACTAACTACTAACTAACAACTAACTAACTAACTAACTAATTAACTAACTAACTAACTAACTAACTAATTCTCTATAAATTTTTAGAGAAAATTATCTATTAATTTTCTTGTTTTAGAAAATTTTCGATAAGATTTCTTTTTATAGAAAAATTTCGATCAATTTTCTTTTGATAAAAAATTTTAAAACATTTTCTTTTAAGATAAAAAAATTTTTATTTAAAATTTTTGTTAAATTAAATTCTTTTTTGAAAAATTTTATTTTCATAAATTTGTTTTTAGGAAATCCCTTTTATACCCACCG